ATGAAGCTCTCTTGAATGTGGAGGTGTGAACCCAATTAAAGAGCCAGTAGTCTGAGGCAGTAGAACAGAGTTTATTGTCCGCTTCGGGGAGCTCAGGTGCGGGAGAAACAGTCAGAACTGGAACGTTAAACTGTATCGAGGGATCAGGCAAGGAGGGCAAGGCAGAACATCTCTGGTCGGTAGTACAGGCAGGGTCTCAATATCAGAATAGGAGTTCAACAAGAAGGACAAGGCAAAATCATTAGTGGGTAATACAGGCAGGTTTTCGATCTCAGAATGGCAGGTGCTAGACAAAACAGCTGGAGAGTCTAGGCAAGGCAAAGAACAATCTGGCACAGTATATAGCAGCTTCCCACCCTGTGGAAAGCTGCTATATAGTGTTGTCAGCAGGTGTGGGTAATTGAGATGCAGGTGAAATCAATGAGAGTGATGAGGTAAGGTTCCTGGGATTCAGGGTGAGCTGGGGACAGGAAGTAGTGTCAAAGTAAAAGCAGGATACCGGAAGCCAGCGGGACAGAATCATGACAGCTTTGCTTTGTAGCAGAGAAAAAGTTTACTTAACCAAACAGCAATCTTTTACAATCTGAAGGCTCATGAAGCATTAGAAAGAAATGCATGACATTTTTCAAATGTAACTGTGTAATATCTATCTAGAGTAATATAATTTATAAAGGGGATGAGATGTTCTTCAAAGGTAGAGTTCAGTTCTTCTGTAGAAGTTCATTCACAATTCAACTGTACAAAGAGGGGAACTAGTATATAAAAAAAATGCATTGATTTCAAAGAGGAAAAGATAAACGAATATTTGATACAAGTGTGGATTGTACAAGATGGTAGTTTTAGAGTTGGAAGTTTACCAAAAAAAAACTTTTCTAACTGGACCAGTGGTCAAAGGCTGGAGTGTGGAGGAGTTTATGTCAATGACAAAACAGGAAGAACATGAACTTCCTACCTTGTTAGGAAAGAGATAATTTAATAGAAGATGTGAGATAGAATGTGCAGTTTCTTTGCAGTTTTTCAATTTGTGTCATCTAAGTGAAAATGTTTAAAAACTTTGCATACATCCTGAAATTTAGGAATACTTGCATTTAACATTCATGCCAGGAACCTGTTCCAGCAGGCAGTTTAAATTCATATATTTTTATACACTGGTCCATGATCTTAAGTGTGTCAGGTTTTAATCAGCAAGATAATTCAGATGCCTTTGTAACCTGCTTCTCAACAGGCTGCTGGACTTGGACTGATTCTGTGTGTATCTCTTTTGTTTCCTCATCAGGGAGAAAATGCTACAAACTAGTTGCTATAACCTTTGGACTCCTTTGTATCCTACAAGCTGCTCTTAACATTTCACTACGTCTTCTGCTCTGTGAGTCGCTTGTGTTTCTACTTTTACGCAGTATAGTGTCCACACCTTTTTGAAATGCACTATTTTTATAAGACCAGGAGGAGAACATAGCAACCACCACAGGCTGAAGATGTTACAATCACTTTAGAGGACTGTTATCAAACGTATTTGTTTTAATACATGGGAGGATTTTAGATTCAGAAACAATAACAAAGCATAAAAGCAATACAAGGAAGCTGATGTGAAAGTGAGAAGAGTGGGACGTCTTGGATAGTTCAAGCTTCATATGTTTGCCCTTATAATAAAATGAAACAAATCACAACTTTCAAACCCTCTTTTGTCCAGTGTCACACAGACAGATTTAGTTCTCTGGTTTATTCCCTGAGCTCCTCCTGCTCATATGTGTCATTGAACAAGATACTGAACCCCAAATTTCTGCCAGTGTAGAAAAAACTGTTGGTCAGATGTAATGTGAAGATTTTCTGCTCTTTCAGACAATTCTGAAAATATGAGAGCAAGTACAGAGTGGAACTGCAAAAACCTGACTGAAGAGACCAATGAGCTGAAGAGAAAACTGGATACTTTTGGTAAGTATGAGAATGAAACATGTCATAACTGTGATGAGCCCTTGTATCCAAACCATTACTAAGCCCAAATCTTGGGCTGTCAGGAACGGTGCGCAATGCTGCCGAAAAGTGTTTGGTGAACTCATTAAAGGGCCAGACGAGGAAGTGATGAACAAAACCATCTCTTTAATAAGAGAACTAACGTTAACAAAACCATACAAGACACGGTGAAAACACAAAACTCACATGTTTGTATAAACAATCCGAAGTCTGAGCCAGCAAACACATACAGCAGAGGTAATCCAAAAGTGAGGTCCGATGATCATACACAGTGGCAGTCTGAAGAAAGAGGGCAAGGCAGAATAGAATAGTCCAAAGTAACAATCCGGATCCAAATACCAAAAACTGAACAAATGCTGGAGAGTCAGAGCTGGCGTCTAGAACAATCTGGCAGGGATTGGTGGGTGAAGGCTGCTTATATTGCAGTGCAAACGGGTGCAAACTATCGGAAGCAGGTGAATCTAATGTGAGTGATTAGTGAAAGTAAAAAGACGAAACAGAGGTGAAACAAAAACAGGAAGTAGCATCAAAATAAAAGCCTGACAGGAAGCAACACAGAACCGAATCATGACAGGCATAACTGGGATCATATCAAATGGAAACACCTAATACTTTACGTCTTGTAGTAACATGCACATTGAGAGCTGATGTACCAGAATCAAATTCCTCATGTGTCCGACACACCCAGCCAATAAAGAGGACTATAATTCTGATTCTGTATATCGACCCTCAAAATGGCAGCTTCATTGCACAATTCAGATGTTAGGTCTTTCTGAATTTTCAGATAACAAAACTGTGAACATGGAGGCCAGTTTAAAATCTGTTACTGAGGAGCGAGATGAGCTGAATGACATTGGTAAGTGTGAAGGTGAAACTACACAAACAACCTAAAGGAGACATGTCCATAACTGGGCAAATATAAGTGTTGTATACAAACGTGTAACTGTTTTTGTGAGGAGGGGACCTTGTCCAATAATGTTGGTGTTTGGGTTTGGATAAGGTTGTTTCCACAGACCAGACTATAGACTGGTCTCAGTCAGACAAAAGAAAGAAGACCTGGGACTTTTAGGCCAGATCTAAAACCCCTTAGAGAAACTGTCGTTTCAGTGCTTGTTACTCTGCAAAATATTTTTATTTGAAATAGACAGATAATGACAGTGTTGTTTCAAAATTTCAGCAGGCTGAGGTGTGAGTTTCTAAAATAGTAGCAGTTTAATATGATGCGGCATTTCCTGCCAAGAAAACTGTCTGGTCACCCTGTGCCACTTTTCCTACAAGATGAAGCACTGCTGATGTTGGCTGTCTTGAGGATCTGAGCCGTTTTTGCTTGACAGCTAAACTGCATCACCTGGTTATGGGAGACTCGACTCCTGCTGTCCACCCCTCAAACACCACCTCCACAAAAATTGGCTCTTGTCGAGTACTGCCACAGTTTCAACACAACATTTTCTCCACACCTGACCATCATTAGATATACAAACAGATACTGCTACAGAGCACCAGCCCAATATTTAAACAATTTCTTATTTTATTTCTATGTTGATAATAATTTAGCCAGTAACTTCTGTGCCAGTGCCAGTGCCAAGCCTCGATAAATAGAGAGAGTTGAGTCAGGAAGGGCGTCCGGCATAAAAACATGCCAAATTTAAACATGCGAGTCATCAGTGCGAACTCCATACCGAATCGGTCGAGGCCCGGGTTAACAACGATCGCCACCAGTGCTGTTGACCTACAGGGTGCTGGCGGAAATTGGACTACTGTTGGTTGAAGAAGGAGAGGAGGCAGAAGGATTCGTAGACAGAGAGAGAAGAGGAAAGGCAGGCGTATAGGTCTGAGAATAGGGACTCTTAACATTAGCACAATGGCCAGGAAAGGTAGAGAGCTGGTGGACATGATGGAGAGAAGGAAGGTAGATATACTGTGTGTGCAGGAGACCAGGTGGAAGGGTAGCAAAGTGCATAGCATTGGAGGGGGATACAAACTGTTTTATTATGGTGTGGATAGGAAGAGAAATGGGGTAGGAGTGATCCTGAAGGAGGAGCTCATGACAAATGTTTTAGAGGTGAAAAGAGTGTCAGACAGGGTGATCAGTTTGATGTTGGAAATTGAAGGGGTAATGTTGAATGTAGTCAGTGGTTATGCTCCACAAGTAGGGTGTGAGTTAGAAGAGAAGGAGAGATTCTGGAGTGAGTTAGATGAGGTGATGGAGAGTATTCCCAGAGGGGAGAGAGTGGTGATTGGGGCAGACTTCAACGGGCACGTTGGTGAGGGGAACAAAGGTGATGAGGAGGTGATGGGCAGGTTTGGTGTTAAGGGAAGGAACCTAGAAGGACAGATGGTGGTGGACTTTGCTAAGAGGATGGAAATGGCTGTAGTTAACACCTATTTCCAGAAGAGGGAGGAACATGGAGGTAGCAGAGATTAGGATGTTGAGGTTCTCTTTAGGAGTGACCAGAATGGACAGGATTAGGAATGAGCACATCAGAGGGACAGCTCTGAGGCGTCATGGAGTGATTTAATAATCTGACTCTTTGTTTCCTTCCTTTTTTTATTTGTTTGTTCTGAGACAGATTTGAGATAGATGTTTTATGTGTAAAGCTCAGAAGATTCTGCAACATAGCTCCAAACACAATGGAAAACATCATCATACAGCTGCAAGTTGTTGGCCAGATCCACTGTTACAAATAGCCCAGATTCCTCTCTATCCTCTAGTTGGAGGTTTTGGAAGTTATTAACATTGTTCGTGAGAACCTACTCTGATTAGCTAACAATGTCCCCTAACGACTGAGTCATTATAGCCCGGTATCGCTGAGAGTCGTTACCTGTCTTTGAACCCTCACCTGTGGACCGACACCTATTGTCATGGTGGGCATGTTTGGGCAGAGATCTCAAAACAGGATTGTAGAGGGATGACAAGTTGTGTCTTAGTCCACCACCCCTATTTAGTGAGGGGTGTTCTATTTGGACAAAAATAACTTCCTTGACTCCTCTCTCAAACCAGTGATGTTCTCTGGAGAGGATCTGGACTTCACTGTCCTCAAAAGAGTGTCCTTTCTCCTTCTGGTGGAGGTGGAACTCTGGTCCACTGGAGTTGGCCCTCCTGTTTTGGGCCATGCGTTTGTAAAGTGGCTGCTTAGTTTCACCAATGTACAAGTCGTTACACTCCTGACTACACTTAATTGCATACATCACATCACTGTTTATGTCTGGGTGTTTTGTCCTTTGGGTGGACCAGTCTTTCCCGCAGGGTCTCCCTGGTTTAAATTTAACTGGGATATCGTGGTTGCAAAAGATCTTTTTTAACTTCTCTTATAAACCAGCCACATAAGGGATGACAGTGTTATCTCCTCTTGTTTCTGGTTTCTCCCTGTTGGTGTTGGGCCTCTTCCTTGCTTTGGTGAAGGCCCACTTAGGGTATCCACAAGCCCTAAGGGAGTTCAGGATGTGTAATTTCTCCTTCTTGGCCCCTTCTGCAGTTGTGGGCACTTCCTCTGCCCTGTGATTTAAAGTTCTGATGACTTCCAGTTTGTGTTGAAGTGCATGGTGGGAGTAAAAAAGCAGGTATTGGTCCGTGTGTGTAGGTTTCCGATATACTTCTACCTTCAGGCTTCTGTCCCCTCCCAACTGGACTGCACAATGTGCTTATAAAGTGAAAGCACTGTACAGAATAACCTATGCTGTACCATTGTCTGTATCAGGATATTGAGCTAAATATTGTGAAAGGCCATTAAACCAGAGTAGAGGTGGTAGTTCTCTTTTGACAGAGGTCTTATTCTCTATACTCCTCTGGTTTGCAGTTAAACCAGAAGAATTTGTGCGGAAATAATAAAATGACTATTTTATCATTGAGGCATCATGGAGTGATTTGTCTACCTAATGATCTGTCTGACCTTTTCTTTGTTTCCTTTTTATTTGTTTGTTCTGAGATAGATTTGAGATAGATGTTTTATGTGTAAACCTCAGAAGATTCTGCAACATAGCTCTAACCACAATGGAAAACACCATCATACAGCTGCAAGTTGTTGGCCAGATGAGGTGGTCACCTTCATGCCACCAACCCTCAGTTTCCTGTTCAGTAGAGCTATAGCTAGAACACAACTGCCTCTTTTCAGTAGGTGTTACTGTGAGCACAGCTCAGAGTGAAACCTTGTAATATCAACCTGCTCTGTAGACACTGACTTCAGGAGCAAACTGAGGAGCCTCAGAACATCATGGATCCACAGTTGGTTGTCGATGTCAATGTAAAGAGACCCTCTGGTAATCACAGTAACAGGAGAAGGGAGATAGAAAGTTCAGGGAATATTTATGAAAATGTGTCGTTCCAGACTGTGGAGCCAAAAAGGACTGCACCTGTACTCTCAGGTAATGAACACATGCAAACAGGCACATGCTGGCACATCTTCACTTGTAGCAGAGAAAAGGTTTACTTGAACCAAACAGCAATCTTTTACAATCTGAAGGCTCATGAAGCATTAGAAAGAAATGTAGGATGCTTTTTGAATGTAACTGTGTAATATCTATCTAAAGTAATATAATTTATTTATAAAGAAAGTGGATGAGAAGATGTTCTTCAAAGGTAGAGTTCAGTTCATCTGTAGAAGTTCATTCACAATTCAACTGTACAAAGA